GGGCAGGGGGACAGCATTCTTTCCAGAGCGACCACATTACAATATGCAAAATTCCCAGTTTTCATTGGAAAATTTAAAATACAAAGAAACAAGAAAGTATGATCCATTCACAGGGGGATAAAAATAAATTGAAAGAAAACACTTTGAAGAAGACCAGACATTGTTTATATACGACAAAATGTAAATTGAACATCATTAAAATATTCAAAGAACTAGAGGAAACTATCAAAGGAACTCAAGGAAATCAAGAACAATGTATGGAAATGTAGATAATATCCATAGATAAATAGAAATTATAATTTGAAGCTAAAAGGTACAATAGCTGTAATGAAAATTCCACTAGAGAGATTCAACAATAGATTGACCAGGCAGAAGAAAGAATCAATGAAGCTTCAGGGTAAAGGAAAGAATGCAGTCTGAGGAGCAGAGAAAAAAAAGAATGAAGAAAATGAACAGAGCCTAAGGGACCCATGGGGAAACTATCAAGAATACTAACAGATGCATTATGGGAGTCACAGAAGGAGAAAAAGGAAAGGATCAGAAAAAAATATTGGAAGAAATAATGGCCCCAAATTTCCTAAATCTGCTGAAACACAGGAATATGCAAATCCAAGAAGTGGAGCAAATTTCAAGGAGGATAACTCAGAGATCCACACTGAGATACACTATAATCAAACTGTCAAATGCCAAGACAAAGAGTAAATCCAGAAAGCAGCAAGAAGTGACTTAACGTGGACAGATGATTCATAGTAAGATTAACAGGCCATTTCTTGTCAGAAATCATGGAGGCCAGGAGACAGTGGGATGATATAGTTAAAGTGATAAAAGGAAAAAAAAGCCCGGCAACCAAGAATTCTATATCTGGTGAAATTGCCCTGCAAATAAATGGAGAAATACAGATATCCCCAGATAAACAAAAGCTAAGGCAATTCAGCATTAGTAGACCTGCCCCACAAGAAATGCTAAAGGGAGTCCTTCAGGCTGAAACAAGGGCATTAATGGCAACTTGAGTCCAAACACAGAAATAAAGATGTCTGGTAAAAAGCACTATAAAGAGAAATATAAAAGCTAGCATTAGTCTATTCTGGGTTTGTAGCTCTTCTGTTTCTTTCCTATATGATTTAAAATACATAAATGCATAATAATAAATAATTATGAAATAATAAATGCATAAAGCAATAATTGTAAAACTTATGGGCACACATGTATAAAGATGTAATATGTGACATTAACAACATAAAAGGGAGTGCAAGTGAATAGGAGTTAATAACTGAATTAAAAAATTTTCTGGGTAGAAGATCAGCTGTGTTTCTATATACAAGCAATGAACAAACCAAAAAGGAAATTAAGAAAACCATTTACAATAGCATCTAAAAGAGGAAAATACTTAGGAATAAATTTAACCAAGGAGGTAAACAAATCATGCATTGAAAACTATAAAACATTGCTGAAAAAAATGGAAGAAACATTAATTAAATAGCAAGACATCCCGTGTTCATGGACTGGAAGACATACAGTGTTAAGATGGCAATACTCCTCAAAGCCATCTACAGAGTCAATGCCATCTCTATCAAAATTCCAAAGGCCATTTTTACTGAACTGGAAAAGTCAATTCTAACATTCATATGGAATTGCAAGGGGCCCCAAATAGCCAGAACAACATTGACAAAGGAAAACAAAGTTGGGGGACTCATACTTCTTGGTTTTCAAACTTACTGCAAAGCTGGAGCTGGCCAGGTTGCACAGTGGTTAACTTCACCCATTCTGCTTCGGTGGCCTGAGGTTCACTTGTTCAGATCCCAGGTGCAGACTCACACACCGCTTGTGAAGCCATGATGTGGTAGGCATCCCACGTATAAAGTAGAGGAAGATGGGCATGGATGTTAGTTCAGGGCCAGTCTTCCTCAGCAAAGGAGGAGGATCAGTGGCAGGCATTAACTCAGGGCTAAACTTTCTCAAAAAAAAAAAAAAAAAAGCTAACTACAAAGCTACAGCAAGCAAAAACAGTGTGGTACTTTATAAGGATAGACATATAGACCAATGGAACAGAACTGAGAACCCAGAAATAAACCTGAACGTCTTTGGCCAATTGATTTTTGACAAGGGTGCCAAGACCATTCAGTGGGGAAAGAATAATATCTTCAATAAATGGCACTGGCACAACCTGATAACTGCACGAAAAGAATGAAGTTGCATCGCTACCTAACTCCACACACAATAATTAATTCAAAATGGATCAACAGCCTAAATATCAGAGCTTAAACCATAAAACTCTTAGAAGAAAACATAGAGAAAATCTTCCTGACCTCTGATTTGGTGCTGGATTCTTAGATTTGACACCAAAAGCACAAGCAACAAAAGGTAAAATAGATAAATTGGATTTCATAAAAATTAAAAAGTTTTGTGTGCTAAAGATAGTGTCAAGAGAGTGAAGTGACAATCTACAGAATGGGAGAAAATGTTTATAAATCAGGTATCTGATAAAGGTTGAGTCTCCAGAATATATAAGGAACTCTTATAGCTCAACAACGAAAACACACACAATTAAGAAAGGGGCAAAGGTCTTGAACCAACATTTTCCCAAGATATAGAAATGACCAGCAAACAGAGGAAAATATACAAACATCATTAATTATTAAGGAAATGTAAATCAAAACCACAGTGAGATATCACTTCATAACAACCTGAATGGCTATAATCAAAAGGAAAGAAAGAAAAATCACAAGTGTTGGTGAAGATGTGGACAAATGGGAACCCTTGTACGTTGCTGGTGGGAATGTAAAATGGTGCAACCACTGAGGTAAAAAGTTTGGTGGTTCCTCAAAAATGTAAACATAGGATTACCATATGACCTAGAAGTGCCACTCCTAGGTGTGTATCTAAGAGAAATGAAAACATATGATCCACACAGAAATTTATCCACAAACATTTATAGCAGCATTAGCCATAATACTAAAAGTTGGAAAAACCCAAATGTCTACCCACAGATGAATGGATAAATTGTAATATATGCATACAAAGGAATATTATTTACCTTTAAAAAGAATGAACATTGATACATGCCACATCTTGGGTGGACCTCAAAATCATTATGCTAAAAGAGAGAACCCAGATATAACAGGTCAAATACCACTTGATTCCTTTTATATGAAGTATCCAGAATATGTAAATCCACAGAGATGGAAAGAAGATTATAGGCTGCCAGGGGGCGGGGCCGGGGGTGGGAGAGGGAGGAGGGAAAGTGATTCGGTACTCACTGTGCTGTGGAGCCACAGCTTACCGGGTACGGTTGGTTGTTCTTCTGGGTGATGAAAAATTTTCAAAACTAGGGAGAGGTGGTAGTTGCTCAATATTTTGAATGCACTAAATGCCACTGAGTTGTATTTTAAAATAATTAACTGTATGTTATGTGAATTTCACCTCAATTTTTAATACAGGCTCATAGAGTTACGTTTAGCATAACTCCCTTTGAATTTTAAAATACGCAGATATACACGAGAGAAAAAAATGTTAGATCATACTTCAAAACATTAAAGATGATTGTCAATGAGTGATGGGAAATCAGGTAATTTTAATTGTTTCTTCTTCACTTAAATTATTTTTAAAATTTTCCAACAAGGTTACGAAACTGTTGCATGTTGAATTCTTTAGTATCTGGGAAAGAAATACTATAGTGATATTGACTACCAGATTTTTAAGAGCATGAGGAAGATGCTTAAATTGTAGAGTTAAATGAGGATAGAAGAAAACTGTACTGTATATATAATATGATCCCAATTATTTAAAATGCACTGCTCATGGTAACAGGCCCTCTGTGGGAGAGAGGAAAATGAGAGGCATTGTTCCTTTCTACTTTCCATATTTTCATAACGAACATTTATTACCACTATAATCAGAAAAGTGATTTTATTTTTAAAATGTCAACTACTGGCTAAGCTAGGTGCAACAAGGTAGAGGTTTGATAAATGTACTTGGTTTGATAAGGAGAATATTTACACTGGAATCATGGATTTTGATACAGAATATTCCTCATAGAAAAATTGTAAAGTAGAGGAAATGCACAGAGGGAAACAAATCAGCAGGCCCTAAACACTCAGATATGCTTAGTTGTTCTCTGAACAGGATTGGGCTTGGGCTGTTTAGAAACAACAGTCCTTCATTTCCATCAGAGTGAGATCATCAGCAGAGTTTGTTGAACAAATGTGAGTCTATTATGTGCCAGGCTATAGAAGTCGGAAATATAGTCATCTGAACTTCCTTTGGGGACTCAGCCCTTTCCCAGTCTTAGTCCATGTGGTTTGGCTGGGACTGACTCCAGCCTACCCAAAGGAAATTGACCTAGGCTTGAGTCAATTAGTGGGCTAAATTCCTAGGGTCATAACGATTTGTTAATTTAGGCCAATAAAGGTCAAGTGCAGGTCTTTAGTTAAAGACATGGACAAGACAGATGGACTCTATCACTCTGAGCATTTGTAACTTAAAAAGAGATGTTAAAAATCCCCTAGGAAACGAAGCTGTGATGATGAATGGGTTGCTACATGGATTTGGTAGATGGTGGCCATGCTTTCTTCTCATCTTGTGCATCCCTCTGCTATGGCCCTTCCCATACTGTGCTCTGGTCACTGATGCTTCTCTCTCCTCCACCAGACAGACAGCTCTCTAAAAGAAGGAGACACATCCCCACTATGTTTGGTCACGGCACAGAGAAGGGTCCAAACACACATCTGCTAAACAAATCATCCTGATGGACTTAGCAACATGGAAATGAGGTATTGGTGGTTCTATCACTAGGGACTCAGGTTTCTGGGGCTCCAATACCTCTACTGGCCGATACCACAGCACACGGTCTCCACTTTGTACCCTTGGGTTCCTGCTCTAGGCTGCAACAAGTGGTCCACCCTGAGTCATCCACTGTGGGTTCTCATGTGGTCACTGTATGATTCTCACACAACCACCCAGAGGACGTCATCAGGCAGAAGGAATGGGGGCGGGGAAGCTTTCATAGAAAGCCATCCCTGATGAAACACCACACAAGCACAGGGGCACTTGAGGTCACTGAGACCACCTGTACTTCCCTCCTTTACTCAGGGATAAAAGAGAGCAAGCAGGAAGCACCAGCCTCCACAACCTTGGCAACCTTCCTGGAAAGATGCAGCCTCTCCTGTTCCTGCTGGCGTTTTTACTATCCCCTGGGCCAGAGGCAGGTAAGTGACCATCCCAGCCCTCTGATGCCCAACCTCTCCCTCCGAAACACAGTGGGCTCAGATCTCCTGCCCCTTCAGCACATCCCTGATCCATCCATCCACCAGCAGCATTCTGAATCCCAGCTCCCATGCCACCTCAGAATCCCAAGTATGATGCTGGAGAAGCTACCAGCAGGAATGGCAGGGCAGAAGGCTGTTCTCAAGAAGAGCCAGTGGGTGCTATTCCCTCCCTAGGCCCTACATTTGCCATCTGCAAAGTGGAACTTAACTGGAAGTGCATGGTAGAGGGAGGGAAACTGGAAAAGAGAAAATAATCAATTCCCCTGCAGAGGGTAGAGTGTGCCTGGCTTCCAGGTTAGGGATGACACAGATGCTCCCCTCAGTGTCTGCTTAGGAGAGAAGTCTGAGCTGTGCAGACCACGGAGTTGGTGGGACCACTATCCCCAGAGGACTGCTGGTGCTTTGCTCAGTCACAAGGCACCTCAGTCCCTTCTCCAGCTCTGCTTTTCTTCCCAGACCTTTAGCAGCTCCCTTCTTTCCAGGATGGAGCCACTGTTTGCGGACCTGAACTTCTCTGCTTCCAGAATCCCGCAGGCACTGGCCCTACAAACTCTCCTTCAGGCCCATTGGGGGTCATTCCTTCATGCAGCCAACAAACAGCTTTTGGGCACCCACTATGCATCAGGCCATGGGAAACAGGCTATGACAACATCTAGATCCCTAAATGTAAGTCCTGGCCACTGGAAAGCAGCATTATCCCAGACATCACAGGACAACAGGGCCTTAGAAAGGCTCTTGAAACAAAGCAAAGTCAGGAGAGGAATTTTCAGGAGCCTCTAGGACTTTGCTATCCTTAAGACGCATATGCTCACCTCCATTATCTGTGGAGGACACATTCACAGGCCAGCCTGCTCCTCTTCCTTTTTCTAGAGGGAAAGCCCTACCCCAGCCCCTCTCAAATCCAGGCCATCTTGGGCTCCCAGATGCCCAGCAGTCCTGAGCCGTCAAGGTGACACATGCCTGGTGGACTCACTGGGTGCGCACAAGTAGACGAGACTTTTCCTTCAGGGGAGATCATCGGGGGACATGAGGCCTGGCCCCACTCTCGCCCCTACATGGCATTTGTTCAAATTCTGGTTGAAGAAAAATGGAAGAGCTGCGGAGGTGTCCTCCTGCGACGGGACATTGTTCTGACAGCTGCTCACTGCTGGGGAAGGTGAGCGGACAAAGACAGCTGACACTTCCTGAGACCCCAACAGGGACCACTGTCCTCTGCCAAGGACCTGCAGCCCAGGGTAGCTCCCCTGGCTCCTGGGAACTCAAGGGCATGAGAGGTCATCAGAGGAGCCATCTGAGGGAATGCCTGGGTGATGGAAAGTGAGAATAGGACAGGTAAGCTTTGGGGTCAAAGGGTCAGAGGTGAGAGCTAGTGGCCCAGTTGAGAAGAGAGACCACCCTGGTCAAATGAAGCAGCTGTGGAGGATGAAACCATGCACTAGGGTCAAAAGGCAAATGCAGAGTCCTTTCACAATATTGCCTGAGGGCTGAGAAAGCTCCCAGAATCCCCCCTCAGAGTCACCCACTGCCCAGTACTCCTGTTGTTTTGATTTCTCCTTTCTGAAGCCCTGCCCTGCCCTAGGTGTCCCCTGCCATTCTTGGCTCCTGGGGTGGATCTCCTGTGACTCCATGCCCCTCACATCCCCACCCTGCTTTCTGTGTAGCTCAATCAAGGTGACCCTGGGGGCCCACAACATCCAGAAGCAGGAGAGGACCCAGCAGGTCATCTCTGTGAAGGAAGCCATTCCCCACCCAGACTATAATTCTAAGAAGATAGCCAACGACATCATGATACTAAAGGTAAGGGAACCGCCCTGCTGCTCTTGCTGTCCTGGGTCCAGATGGCTTCCACTCCCACTGGGACCTCTCCTTTCCCTCCTTCCTATCCTGACCACCTGACTAGTCCCAGTGGCTCAGGGGAGAGGGAAGTCAGTGCAGACCCATCGCGGTGTCCAGGCCCAGGAGGCCAGTGGCTGAGCTGGACTTTCTTGCCTTTCTCATCAGCTGGATAGAAAGGCCAAGCTGTCTGAAGCTGTGCAGCCCCTCAGCCTGCCCAGGGGCACAGCCCAGGTGAGGCCTGGAGAGGTGTGCAGTGTGGCGGGCTGGGGGAGAGTCGCCCCAAATGGCAGAGGGTCAGACACCCTGCAGGAGGTGGAACTGACCGTGCAGCAGGACTGGGTGTGCGAATACTACTTTCACAATTACAACAGTACCACTCAGCTGTGTGTGGGGGACACGAAGGAAAAGAAGTCTTCCTATAAGGTGAGACTGGGCACCTACCTAGCTTGGCTCTTGGGAGAGAAGTGTTTTGGGACTTTCAAACCCAAGCAGTAGGAACTCATTCACCCCTTAGACTCTGATCTTTCTCCTGAGAAGAGAAGGGGGGAGAAGCCAGAATGGGGAGTCACAGGGCTTCTGGTAGCTTACCAGGGCCCTGTGATGCATCCAAAAATGATGCTCCATTCGAAACATGAATTTGCAACACTCTGCCCCACGTCGAGCACAGGTGTTAGAAAACTGCTCCCTGGGTGTGCAGCAGTCAAACCAGGTGTCTCCTCAGAGCTGGCTCCCATCTTGGTTAAATGGCTCACCCTCCACGCTGAGTGTCAGCCTCACCTGCCCGCTTCCATGTTCTTAAACGGTAGATGGAAGCACAGTTCCACAGCGCCGTCATGGGAGAGGATCTCAGACCTCGGGGAGGAGAGGGAGCAGTCCCCTGAGTAAAATGAAGTCCTGACAATGTCCAGGCTCAGGACTGGGCAGCTGAGGGTCCCACAGGGACCTGCCCTGCTCTCTGATCTGCCACATGGAGGCCACACCAGGCGGCCTTCACTGAGAGTGTGCTTGGGATGCAGGTGGGCAGGACCTAGGGGAGCACGGACTCAATCCTCCCCACTCTCTTTCCACAGGGGGACTCCGGGGGCCCTCTCATGTGTAAGAACATGATTCAGGGCATTGTCTCCTATGGACGAAGAGGCGGGATTCCTCCAGGGGCCTTCACCAAAGTCTCAAGTTTTCTGCCCTGGATAAAGAAAACCAGAAGGGGCCGGCCCCATGGTGGAGTGGCTAACTTCCTGCGCTCCACTGCGGTGGCCCAAGGTTTTGCCCATTCACATCCTGGGCGTGGACATGGCACGGCAAAACATACCATGCTGAGGCGACATCCCACGTGCCACAACTAGAAGGATCCACAACTAAGAATATACAACTATGTACCAGGAGGCTTTGGAGAGGAAAAAAAAGGAAAAAACTAAAATCTTTAAAAAAAATAAAAAAGAAAACCATGAAAAGCCTCTAACTGTAAGAACCAACCTACCTTCTCTGGAGCTGATCCATAATGACACCAGCAACTAAATAAATGTCTCTGAGCTGAGCGGGAAGGGCTGGTTTCTTGTTTATTCATTGACCCGCATTCACAGGCACCTATTCTGTGCTTAGAAGGCCAATGACACAAATCTTCTGTTTTCTGCTTCCTCCTCTTCCACGTCCCACCACCACCCCCAAACCTCATGCAAAGCTGTTCCTCAGCTCCTTCTGACCCATACCTTTCTCTGGGCCTGCCCTTCTGCCAGGGCTGCAGCTGAACACCATCAGGGGAAAACATGAGCCTCTCTGGTCCTGGGGCTCAGGGTGAACTTCTTACCTGCTTCCCTGTGTTAGATGGCAGCGAGGAAGGGGGATGACACCATGGGTCCCGGACACCAAGGAGGCAAGCCTGGGGCTACAGCTCAACGGCATAGCTACCTACGCTGGGGAGGGCAGAGGCTGCCTGAGCAGAACAGTTCTCTCCCACAGCCAGGGAACTGACGTGGAGTCAGGGTGGGTCTCTGGAGAAGCTCCTCGTTCTCACCCAGCCTGAGTTTCCTCCCTGCCCTACTGTGACCTTTGGGCGCAGCTTGCCCTCCAGTCTCCTGGCTGCCCCTTCTTCTCCCTCCCTGCTTTTCACTGAGAGTTCTCAGAGTCCACAAATTCTTGTCCCCTCCACACAAGCCTGATCTGAGTTGGGCACTTCTTTATAGCCCTATTGCCTAAGACACCTGGAGGCCCATGTGGTTCCAGCAGGGCCTCTCTCCTGAGATGCCAGCCCATCTCATGCCCTGTCCTAGAGGGCTACAAGGGACCATGATTGTGCTGGCAACAGGCGGGGTCCATGGAGGACACAGCAGACAGGTTGTCTCTCCAGAACCCCTGCCCCATCTCTCACTTGGCAAGGCCAGCTCAACCCCTCACATCCAGCCCAGTGTCCCCCAATGTGCTCAGGGTGCATTGGCCACCTGGTCACTTGATAACCTGAGTCCCTTTCAGCCTGTCCCTCTTATTCACTGCTGACCTCTAGGCTAAGACCCCTCACTGGCCACCTAGTCTGTCTCAGCCTTTTGAGTTAGCCCTACCCTCTCTGCAGTAGGACTGGAAAGCACCATTTTTCCATCAATAAACAAACACACCCTGATTGAGGTCCTATGTGCCCAGCAATAGTGATTCACAGTGGACCTAATACAGACTCTGTCATCTGAACCCGAGGGCACTGACAGTGTGAGTTTCACCCAAGTCATGTAACTCTCTCTCCTTCCTCACATGAGTGCTCATGGCCTAGATCTTGTGGGAAATCCATAGGAATAAAGTACTTGCATTGTGTTTCTATTGCTGATCATAGTCCATGTGAGCGTGAGCACGTGTGACTCTAGGACAGCAGGCGTGGGATTTGGAAATGACAGCAGTCATTTAGTTTCTAGGGGTGAAGTCCCCACACTCTGTCCACTGGAGCCTTGTCTTCACCTAGAGGAGAGGGCAGCCCGTAGGGAAGCAGAAGGGCAGCGAGGGCAGCCTTACCTTCATTTGCCTCAAAAGTGGGAGGTAGGAACGTCATTGCATAGATTCACATGGTAGGAAAAACTGTATTACGTATTTGCTTGAAGGCAACTAGAGTCAGACTCTAAACACCCATCCAACTGGACTGGTGGGAAACGTGATCCCTTTGGTTACTGTACCTCCTGCCTGCACAGAATCAGGGAGGTTCACACGCTCTGGAAAACTGGAGAAAGGCCTCTCCTCTTAGGGCCACCATGGTTACCGGTGCATCCATAGGTTCCAGACCACCCAGATTTTTTTACTTTAGGAAGTTTTTGGCTGGAGTCAGCACATAGAGTTTGGGATCCTTTGCTGAATGAGAATCTCCCTGTGTTGGGCTCAGCTCAGGAAACACCCCAAGCACCCATCTCTCCAAGGGCTGGCTGCTCATATGGGGCACGACCTGGGAGCTGAGCATACGTTCCAGCTCTGAGCTCCTGCTCCAAACACACACAGCACTACCCTCTCACGACAAGGAGTATGTACTCTGGGATCATGTAACCCTCACAGGCATGGCCTTTCCCACCTTGTTGTGCACAAAGCAGGCAGCAACACAATGTCTTCATGACTGCGGGCAATTTCACAAGGGCAGAGCAGTGAAGACACGCAGCTTCTGATCTGGAGCTGAAAAACTATCTCTGTATATAAGACATACTAAGAACCTGGATCCTTGATGGAAAAAGACAAGAAGGAAAATGCCAAAAGCAAAACAAAAATAATATTTAAAAAAGTAGCCCAGACACATGCATATTGAGTTTAGATATCACATTTACTTGAGGAAATGGTTCTGTGGTTTTCATACAAGTTTGAGGACCCTGCTGCAGGTCCTCCTCCTGTGAGAGATGAGGGAGGGACACAGTCCCAGGAGGGGGCAGTGGCCGACTGAAGGGACCACAGAGTTAGAACAGAGCCTGGACTGAGCCCAGGCACCCTGACAGCCAGGCCAGCAAGAGCCCTGACATGTTGTCTAACCCCTGCCCCGTGATGACTTCCTGGCATCCCTGAACAAGAGCTGAGCTTCTGCTCAGACCCCTCCCTGGAGAGGAAACCTCTGGGCTGCTGCACAGCCATTCTGTGACAAGGATTCCAACACCTGGCTTGGTGAGCTGAAGTCTGCTCAGGGGTCATTTGGATGGGGGTGGGTGAGCACCCTAATCATGCTGATTCCTTCAAATCTCCTTTGTCTGTGGAAGTGTCCCCTGCCCCAGCCCTGTCTTTGAGGAAACAATCCTTCTGTTCCTCAAGTACCTCTGTAAAGAAAATTTAAATATAAATCAATAAGATATTTCTGCCATGACCTCAAGGAAATGCCTTTACTCACCCAAACCCACCCCCATCACCCCTCCTTCCCTCCAGACCCACAAGAAGAGCCCAGTCCCATGATGGCAGGGAGAGAACCGCCAAGCCAGCTCCTCGGGGAGAGAGGCCCAAAGGAAAGTGAAATCTTGCTAATTTCTTTTGGGATTTGTCTCGGGATGACTCTGCCTTCCTGCCCACCACCATAGTTCTGCCGGTTCCCTCTTTGTGGACTTACAGAACTCACAGGGTTGATTTCCTGTCTTGCTATCCCACCCAACACTGCTTTTGTCCAACAAACACATTCACCATAAAAGAAATGCAGCCACTGGTTCCTTTTTCATCATAGGCCTATTGCTAGACTACATTCCTCATCCACAGACTCAGGAAGCTCAATGAACCTCGGGGAGGGCAAAGAAAACAACATCTAAGCATATAATAGTCAAAAAAAGAAAGATAGGGGCCCGCCCACTGGTGTAGCAGCTAAGTTCATGCACTCTGTTTTGGTGGCCCAGAGTTCGCGGATTTGGATCCTTGCATGGACCGACCCACTGCTTATGAAGCTGTGCTATGGCAGGTGTCCCACATAGAAAAAATGCAAGAGGACAAGCACAGATGCTGGCTCGGGACTAATCCTCTTCAGGAAAAAAAAAAAATCAAAGATAAGGAGCAAAGACTGAAAGTTGACAGACAGGAAAGCAATATACGCTACTTTAAGAGAAAAACCAATAAGAGTAACAACGAGCTCCCATCAGAAACCACAGAAGTCAGAAGACACTGTGATGACATTTCTAAATAGTTGAAAGGAAAAGGCAACCTACATCTGAGTTCTATCTTCAGTGAATACACTATTTAAAAATGAAGGCAAAGTAAAGACATTTTCAGACAAACAATTGTACGAGAATTTGTTGCCATCGGACCTGCACTGCAAGAAAGACTAAAAGCAGTTCCTCAGGCTGAAGGGACACGATCCCCATTGCAGGCACGAAGGACAAAAGAGGAATAAACGTGTAAGATGTGACCAAATATAAAAGACCTTATATAAATTTCTTTCAAAGATGAATGACTATTAAGGCAAAAATGCTTTAGGATTTATGGAATATAGTAGCCAAATGGATGACAAAAATAACTCAAAGGGTGGGAGGGAGGATAAATGGAAATACATTACTCCAGTGTTCTTACATGAAGTGGTATAACATTAATTCAAAGTAGACTGTGGTATGTGAAGGAGCCATATAGCAATCCTAGTGTAACCACTAAAATATTATATACAGATCTAAACAGAAGCTGATAAAGAACACAAAATGAGATACCACAAAAGGAGGCAGTAAAAGAAGGAGAAAGGCACAAAAAATCAATTACACAAGTAGAAATCAAATAACAATATGATATTCTTCAACCTACCCCTATCAGTGGTTGCATTAAATGTAAGCAGATTAAACAGTCCAACTAAAGGGCAGAGATTGTCAGTGTGGATAAAGAGTGCAAGACCCATTGTGTGCTGTGTACAGGAGATATTCAAATATAAAGACATGGATAGGATGAGAGTAAAATGATGGAAGAAAAAATAAAGACATATCCTGCAACACCAATCCAAAGAAAACGGCCTTGCCCATGGAGTGTGCTCTCTAATTTTACAATTTGTGGCCACTTATGAGATGAAATAGAGTGTCTTGGTAGAACTTTTATTTCCATTTTTTTCCATATTTTATTTCCATTTCTCTTAATCTGAGTGAGCTGAGACTCTTCATTATGTTTTAATTATATTTTACTGTGAACTGTCTTGTCTTTTGCTCATTCTTCTATCAGGTTCTGGATCTTTTTCTTCTGAATTTTCAGAGTTCTTTATCTATTAGATAGATTAGCTCTTTAATTGTGGTATATGTTACAATAGCTTTTTTTCCAAGTTCGCTGTCTGTATTTTGAATTTTCTTACAGTGCTTTGTGACAGACAAATTTAAAAAGTTTTTTATTTATCTATTGTAGTTTGTTTATCAATCTTTTCTTTTAATGTTCCTAGATTTAGAGTCATTGCTAGGAAGGCTTTCCCCTTTCTAAGTTTATAAAGGAATTTACCCATGTTTATTTCTAGTGCATGCATGGTATTACTTTTTATACTTGAATCTCTTATCTGTTTGGAGTTTATGCTGGTGGTTTGTGTGAAATGTGATTCCAACTTAATCTCTTAGCAAATCACTACCTAGTTGAGCCAGAATCATTTATTAAAAAGTCCGTC